TTCTAAGAGGACTGGTAGGGCTGTGACGCTGCTCATGATCAGGAGTCGTTTCCCCACAGTTCACGCAACCCTATGTCCACATTACAGCCAAGCCTCTAGAAGACACCAACCTACCCAGTTGACTTGCTGGAGGGTGTATCTGTTACAACTTACAGACGTCAGCATCTTTACAAAACTTGTCCTATTGGATTGTTTTTCCATTTACAGATTTCACTGCTTAGTTTCTCCTGCCATATTTTCTACTTTAAGATACTGAGGCAAATTAACACTATGGAAAATAATGAACAAAGGACCACTGCCCTGTGCAAAGTCATTAGACATGGAGCCAAATCCCTCCCGACCAGATATGTTTATTTAACGGTTTCTAATGATTCCATTATTTCCGAGAAGAGATAGGGTATAAAATTTTAACTGAGACAATTACATCATGGATTGGGCTTGAAGCTTGGAGAAAGATTAAACCCACCTTCTACAATGGAGAAGATATGAGCATAATGATCACAATTTATGAAAACTGGACTTCTATGTGATTCCTCTTAAATGCTAGGCTTTGCTGGTGCTGTTTAAATGCATTCGGTGAAGAAGTCAATGGCCATACATTTTAAGAATATAAGAAGGAAAGTTGTGAGTCTTATAATAAATGTATTGAGTATTCATCAAGTTCAGGAATACTAGTAACAGCACAGTATTAATTATATGCCTTGACTTTAAACACTTACCATCTCTGGACCTTACTCTAAAAAGCTGTGCACATGTGGCCTTAGTCAACCCTCACAACTCTCCTATGATGTACATGTTATTACCTTCACTTGACAGATAAGAGACCTGGACACAAAACGTTTAACAAATCTGCCCAAGGTCATAGAGCCAGTGAAGAGTCCGTAGTAAGACTGAGGAAACACTTGTAAAATTATCCCAGCCAGATCTGCCCATGGAAAGTGTACACAGCTGTCTAGAGTCTGAGCTGAAGGTGCCAGACGGTCTACTCAAATACATCACCTTCACCAGCTCACAATACCGCCTCAAGTTCCCACTAACAAAGAGAAGGCTTTGTGCTAAGATACTGACCTGTCAAGGCTACGAAATCAAGGTTGACATCTTTGAGAGAAATTCACATTATAAAGGAGAATTTTGAAGAGAGCTGATGGAGGTAAAAGAACACTTTCACCCAATCCTGGTAAAATGGAGGGGCAATGAAGAAAAAAATGTCACATTTGACTCTGCTTGAATATAAAAATTATCCTTATTGTCTGTTCATTTTTTAAGTATAATTTAATATGACAATTAGGAGAGATTTAGTGATTTTGAAAATATTAGACAATTTATATTATATTTTAAAAATAAATTAGATGATTTATATCTTCCCTCTAAATTTTTTTAAGTCGAAGTTCTCCTATGGGCACTACAAGACATCTTAAGAACCTCCACACTCGTCAGATTCTCACAAGTATCTGTGAATTCTCCACAACTGTCAAATTAGAGTGAGACTGATCTCATACAGCTGGCCTTGCTTCCTATCAGCTAAATCCGTGTCGGAGCTAAGCCGTCTTCAGCGGCTAAGAGGACATGACATGTAGCAGTTAGGCCTGTGTATCCTAATGAACATCGGGATGACACTCATGTTGATATTTTAGGGAGGAACATGGGAATAACCAAGACCAGGATAACACAACAGACCTTTGGTTAGCTAGAACCGTTCATCGGCTTCTCTTCATTTAGTTAACATGCAACATTCAGGATTAGGGCTTTCGCTAACGAGTATGCATCAACAAAGTTAAATAGGTACGTTCATAGATGCTCTTAGGAGGGAGGCTACTGGAATGGGGAGTCTTCTAATTGAAAATGCTTTCTGAGTGAACAGACCGCTCAGACTTGAGCTGTGGCTGGCCTCTTTTCAGCTCTTAAGACATTTTCTTCACTCTGTGTAACAACAAATGTGGGGCAGTTGCTGTGAGTTAATTGAAAGGATTGTTTTCTAGTTGCCAAGAAACGGTACTTTCTTACACTATGCAGGCCATTATGTGCACAGATGGAGCTTCCTGATTTTCTTTCAGAGTTTGGGAATATAGGCTGCAGTGACTCAGCTGTCCCTCGAGGAGAGTGGCACAGACCCGGGGAGCTTAAGAGGGTCTTGTTCCATTTCAATTCTTCAGGTAAGACCTGGCTGAAAAGAGCTACCTTCTGTATTCGCTCAACTTTTCCTAAGCTACTTAAATGCTTTTCTATTCTGCAAACAGGCAGTTCTAAAATAACGGGCTTACTTAAGGGAAACACTTGGGAAATCATGCTAAATTCATCTTTTTATATACTTGAAGATTCTGAGATTTTAAAAAAAAAGTTGAGCTGATATCATTGGGACTCTCTAAAGTGTGATTCCTCTTGGTTTCAGAGTAGAAAATTCAGGCAAAGCAACAGGTTTTGAGTATGGGTAGGACTGAAGTGTTAACATTATTGTTAAGGAAGAAAAATTTCAAATTCTATTTGGCTGGTTCTGTGACATGAGCTTTATATTTTATGAACTTCAAATAGACATGTTGATTTTTACATACGTATAACTGGCTATATAATGTCTTCCTCTCTCACATACACCCAAAACAATCTATAGAATTTTCCACTTTCTTATGTCTGGGAACTCTTTATTTTTTTTATTTTGGTACTGGAGGCCCTAAGCACATAGGCAACCATTCTGGAGTGAGCAATGTTTACCAGTTCTCTGTGGGTTGGTTAGCTGGTATCATTTTGGGAGACTATTACAGGCCAGATTGACTTCAAGCTCTTAGTGCCAGCATGACAGGCATTTTGATATTTTCTTGATGGTTTTTGTCTTATGATTAAGATAAAGTCACGGTCCTATACTCACAAGGAGCTTACTAATTACAAACAAACACAAAATTCTACCTTTACCCTTAGGAAGCAAAACAGCATTCCCTGTCAGTACGTCCCAGACTCTAAGTGCTCACTGTGGTACGCCTTAGATCAGATCACTTCTACTGTGAAGGAGTTCATGCTTTCCTAAGCACAAGCTGGACTCTGTACTCTCATGAATTTGCACTTAAAGTTACAGTTCACACAGACTGCACTTTGAGAACAGACAGTGCCAACTTTAAAGAAGAACTTAGTTAAATATTATTAATGATCTTTTCTCTGTCACATTTTCTTCTCTCTCACATATAGCGAGATTTCCTTAGGAATATATTTCCTTTAAAGGGAAGATTGCCATAAGATAAATTAGCTTAGTTTCCATTTGTTCAGGGTTTGGAGCCACCAAAGTATAACTGTGACACATGTGCAATGTGAGCACATGTCATTGTTAATTCTGGAAAGAAATTGTTTTAGCATGCCCTTTACCCAACAACGCTATCTGAATTTTCCACAAATGAACCAAGACTTTCATCAGGAAATTATGATCTGAAATAATGTTGATGAAATGACTGCCTATTAATTTAATTTTAATTCATGAAACTCGTCTCCTTTCTTGAACTCCTAAACATTTCTTAATTAGCCGAAACTGTCATTGATCCAATCCCCAGCTACATAGAATGAACTTGTTACCCTGAATTTCTACCTTCCTCAGTGTAGAGCTGAAGCAGGCTCCGGAAGCTGATGCACGGCTCGGGGTGTCTATGCTTAGTGTGACTCTGTGTTAGTACCGGCGGAGCCGCACACTTGTCTGTGAAGAGGAGCTGAAACAATGCCATTCTAGTCTACAACTCCCTCTTCATCTTTAAAGTAGTGCTGTGTGCCCCGAAACCATACTGTGACTTTACTGTTGTGGTGGTGATTAAAATAGCTACCTGGTAAACTGCTTAGTCGTTACTTCTGTAATTATTAAATGAGTCTGTGGAGTGGGTGGAGCAGAGCAGACATCAGGTGGATATGGTATTTTGTGGAAGACTGTCCCTAGCTATCATGCTATTGTTTCTTAGGATAGCAGAATAATTATAGTGCTTTAAACATAATTATACAGGGACTGAATAATACTGTTATAAAAGGCTTGATTACCATTTCTGGGTAGTATTTTTTGGTTTTGTTGTTGTTAAATATTAGTGAGTTATTTATACTGAGAGACCTCGAGGAAGGTAAATTTTTGGTGGATCCCACTGCAGGCATTCAGCATTTTCCAGTCTCCTCAGCAAGCAGCTCACCATTTTTTATAATGTCACTTCTTTAAGAAAATGTTCTTTGAAAATTTGACTAACTGCTCTGTGAGACATCTCTCAGGCAGTGGTTCAAAGATTTATGAAGACATGGCTGTGCCTTTGTTAATTTCCCCATGTTTTTCAATATGAAATTTACCTACTTTAGAACTTCCGAGCAATAAAGTTCCTTCTTACTCTCTGCCTCCCTAAAATGTTCTCTTTATAACAGAAGGTTATTTGCCTACATGGAGAAAATGTACGGCAGTTGTAAGGCACCAGATTGCCCTGCTGTTTGCGCATGCCCATTCCTTTCTCGGCGCCTGTTCTCACAAACCAGGCACTGCGCTCTTTCCCCTTCAGGTTTCTTGGTACCCTGAGACTTCGGAGTCTCTTGTCAAAAGCGCAGTGAGCCGATTCTACATGGCTTCTCTACCGTTCTCCATACTTTCTATGAGCACTTCAGAAGCCTTGGAATTTCCTCACCCGCTGCTTTTCTGTTGCGTGGGTCCTAGTCTGACAAGGCCTGGCATGTTTTTCAGTTGTCAGAACACGAAGCGGAGCAATCCTGGCTAGTGTGTGCTCAGAAGGATACACACACACACACACACACACACACACACACACACACACAGAGCACAGGGTACGCCCCCCCGCCCCCCCCCCCCCCCCCCCCCAGGCACCAGAAGTGTCCAATTCCCAAAGCCCAAAATAAGAAACCCTGCCCATTAGGCCCCACACATCTTATTCTAGCTAAATGCACGGGGAAAGATCAGAATCTTGTTTTGAGAACGGCTCGAAATCTCATGTGACTTCATTCCTTTTATTTCAAATATTGGCCTACAGAATCGTCTCTATTTTCTTATCGAACCTTCTGGAACCTGTCTATTTAAAAATAATGATCTGACTGGATTGTCCAGTTTTCCCTTCCTTGCTCATTACCGGCACGAAAAATGACAATGATCACATTATCTTCACGCTCCAGCCATGTCCATATTACTAAGCCCTGCTTTGTCTGACTGACCTGTGGGTTATTTCCCTTGCTGCCTCTACTTGTGCATAGGGAAAAATTCACTGGGGCAGAACAGTAATCACCTCTACCTGTCTGATCACTGTGCTCCTGGGTGTCTGTGGCCACAGTCTTCCTTTAATAACCGTCTCTTCATTCTACAGATACTTGGTGAGCATTTCTCATTCTCCAGAGAATACTTGGGTTGGAAATTCTGCAGCGAATAAGACAAAATCCCATTTTAATGGTGATTACATTCCAGTAGAAATCAGAAAATCCCCCAAAACACAGTTTCCTTCAAACATTATACTGTTCTGATGCATAATAAAAACTAAACACCATTAACTATAATCAAGACAGAGCTTTAAAAAGTTATTAGCTTAAAAAGTTCTTCACACCTTTTCTTTTTCAATAAACAAACAAACAAACAAACAAAAATAACACCACCTCCACCCCAGCCCCACCAAACCTCTGTTTCTCAGAAACTATCGAAACCTGAGGTCCCAAGCTCTGTCTTGAAAAATAAATAAATATAAATAAAAATAAATAAATTAAAAAGAAAGAAAGAAAAGAAAAGAAAAAAGAGAAAAAATATTGCTCTAGAGAATTTTCTAAATTAGTGATTGATGGGGGAGGGCCCAGCCCACTGTGGGTGGTGTCATCCCTGGGCTGGTGGTCCTGGGTTCTATAAGAAAGCAGGCTGAGCAAGATTTAGGGAGCAAATTCAGTAAGACACCCCCCCCATTGCCTGTGTATCAGCTCCTGCCTCCAGGTTCTTGACCTGTTTGAGTTCCTGTTCTGACTTCCTTTGATGGTAGACCGCAATATGGAAATATTTTCTTTCCTCTAGTGGTTCTTTGAATGTGATTGGCCCCCATAAACTCACAGAGAGTGGCTCTATTGGGATGTGTAGCCTTGTTAGAGGAAGTGTGTCACTGTGAAGGATGGCTTTGAGGTCTCTTATGCTCAAGCTATGCCCAGTTAACAGTGTACTCCCTGTTACCTTGGGATCAAAATGTAGAATTCTCAGCTCCTTCTCCAGCACCATGGCTGCCTTCACGATGATAATAGACTAAACCTCTGAACTGTGAGCCACCCTAATTAAATGTTTTCCGTTATAAGAGTTATTGTGACCATGGTGTTTCTTCACAGCAATAAAAACCCTAAGACACCTGCTGAAGTTGCTTTTTACCATGGTGTTTAATCACAGCAATAGGAACCCTAACTAAGACAGTCACTCAGATCAAGGATAACTGTCACATATTCTATGAATGTTAATAGTGTTGTTAAATTGCTAACTTCTCTGGGGTATCACTATATGTGGTTAAAAAGGAAAAAACATCTACGGAAGCTGAAGATTTCAAACAGGCTACAAGTTGCGTTACAATGTCATAATATGAAATTCAAACAACATTTTTCCTTTGTACTTAATAGTAAAATGCAACTGCTCGTACTTCTTACTTCCATCTCACTCACCATAAGGTTCATTTCAAGTTAGAAATATTTAAGTATCTAAATGCGCATATGCTATGCTGTAAAGTGGGGGTGCTTTCCTCGCTGAGACAATGAACATCTGCTGAAATGAAATCTCCAGTGGAACAGTTAGCTACTCGGCTAGTCTTCTCATTGGTCTTTCTTTTCTTTTCTTTGGAAATTCGAAAAGGAGGACTGTTTCACTTCCACCGCTGTCATCCCTAAACGAAGAACTAGTTTCTCTTGGGACAAAACTTTTCTTGGAAACTAACATTAGCTTTTATTCTTTTGTGTGTTAAAGGATGGGATAAGTGGAGTTTTGAATATTGTTTGAAAGGCCACAGAATTTACTCTTGGATTTCAAGATTCCCATATCGACTGTAGAACTTTTCAAATCTGAGGGTTGGAGTGGTAATTTTTACCCAGCAAAAGTCAGATGTTACATGAGACTGGCTTTTGAGAAAGACCTCAGATCACTTACTCTTTGTATCCAAAGGTAGATGAGTCTGGAGGAAAAAAGATCCCCAACCTTGAAAATAAAATAAAATACTCCCAAAGCTAGCACTCAATAGTATCGTAGAGATAATGAGAGGCTAAGAAGACCTGATAAACTCTAGTCAAGGCCTACCACTCTTGCTCCCTGTCTAGCTATTAGACATCCATTTCCCCAGGGAAAGTGAAGGCAAGACACCCACAGCACTTGGTTTTAGGATGCATAAAGAAGCCAGGGGATAAGACCTATTCAAACCAGTTTGAATTAAAGATGTTGCTTTTGTCTTTGTGCTTTAAAGAAGAGCTTCTGAACCTTGGGGATTGCAAAGAGCAATGAGTCATGTCTGAAATGGGGAAGAAAGGGTGTCAGATTTCATGCTCATTCATAACCCGACGACTTGTTCCTTGCATTTCAGTGGAGACAGGAGCTCACAAGGGAGACCTGAGAATCAAGTATTTAAGCGTTGAAAGGTTCTATTTGCTATAAAAGATTGATGGAATGGAGTCTATCTTACATAAATCATTCTTGCTTCCTTTCTTTGCGTATTTTTTATTATAAAGCAGTTTTATTGTGAACATATAAAGGAAAAGTTCTACTATCAATCAGAGCAACTTGGCCACTCTCTGGATAATTTTGCCACTCCACTAAAATCTTTAGCATTCCTTGGTACCAAGTGCAAGATGCTTGTGGAATGGAGGAGCATTTTCCTTTGAGTGAGCTGTTAGAATCTTTTGGATGACAGTCAAACACTTCTGTAATTTCCTTTACCATTTTTAGCTTCTTTTGGCATTCTTTCTAGTATGTCTCTGGAATGTCATGAAGAGTCCAGATTCTATTCCAAGTGCTGTATTTTAATGCTAAGCTAAATTTGTTTTAGAGAATTCAAGAGGTATAGGAGGTTGAGATGGATATAAAACTTTTTCTTTTCTAATCTTCTCACAAAATCTTAATAAAATACCAAAGAGAGTGCTGGTCAGTAGTCACATATGAAAGTAAAGTAGAGAGGAATTTTTATCCTTTGGCTATAGGTAACAACAGATTTATTGGCATGGGGGAAGGTGAGTAGCCTTAAGAGAAAGCAAAAGTGTGACTTTGAAAAGACCAAATAGTCCAAAGGCAGTGGAATTGCTTTATTCAGGATATTAATATTTTAGTTCTCTTTGTTTATAATTGAAATGATTTTGGTAAGGTTTTGAATAAAAATTTTGGTTAATTCCCAAGCTGAACAATCTATACTGTGAAATCCCATCACTGCTGTCTGCTCTAAGTTCCAGAAAGCTGTGCTGACACCAGCTGGCACCACAGATAGCGATCCCGCAAGGACAGGCCTCATATGAGAACATTTCATGCAGAGTAAAATCCTTCACAATCAACCGCTCTTTAAGGTTCCAAGGGACTGCTTACACCTGCAATTGCAGTATGGCTCTAGCTGTTTTACCATGAATGGGTCTTGCTTGCCCTCCTCATCAGGAATCACTGCAGTATCAAACAAAGAATGAATTCTTTCCTAAGAAGCTTATGACTAACTCAGGTTTCACAAGTATTCCAGGAACAGGATTGTTTCTGGTTACCAAGGTTGTAACTGTGATTTTGATTCTGGCCTGGAGACTTAAGAACTAAAACCATATGTAGTCCTTCTTGTTCTGTGAGCCAATAGACAATACTCTTCTGATCCAACCCCCCAAGTCCTTATTGCATTCTGAAACAACAGACCCAAGTATTTCTTGTTCGCTTCCCTAAATTAATCTTGTCCTGAGCTAGTGGTATGCTAACACAATGAATATTTAACAGAAAAACCTCTTTTTGCTCTATATTATCTGACTTCTTTTCTACTAAATTTTAGCTCTGTGTCTTTAAACAATTAATTTCAGCTCTTTGGATCCCAGGCTTTTGGATGTTAGATAATGAACTTGTCTAGGTGACTGCAAGAGTCTCTGTCGTCTGCAGGACTTCCTAACCAGTCTGTCACAGGGCAACAGTAAAGCAATTCTGTGCCCTTTAGTATGAAGGAAGGGCAGTAGGAGGGAGACATGTCAGGAATTTCAGTTTTTCATTTCTCCCACTCTCGAAATTGTAGCAAACAGCTAAAGTCCATGACCCGAAATTTTATTAGTTATGCCAATCATTTCAGTAAAATTTCATATAAGCTTATATATTTGAAACTGAAGGGAAATCTCTGAGTTGTGATTTCTTATTTTACCTACTTTTATCAGTTTCAAGGAATGAACCCTGCTCTGTTTTACAATGGAAAACAGAAATAGCATTCCTGTGTGTTGGTTTCTGAAGGGAGAGCAATTAACTTCATGTCAGTAGTCAACAGAAACACTTCCCCCACTCTTCTACTTAACAAAATAAAGTTTCCTTCTCATTTTTGTGGCTTGATGTGCTTAATTATAAGACAATCATGTTTCTCTCTTTTGTTTTGGCTGCCCCTCAAAAAATTCAACGTGTTCACACTTAAGGGCTAAAGATTTACTTTTAGTAGCTTCATTCCACACACGCAGGTAAATGAAATCCACTCTGTGAAAATCTCTTTTCTTTATGATGGCCTAAGAGTTGGAGTACGTTTTTCTAAAAAGTTTTGGGGGCAGTTCTTTGGCTTTTCTGTCATGGAATATTTATGCAAAAACCATAGCTCTGAGAAAATAAGCTGGGGAACTCTGATGATTATAGAGTACCCAGTTCTGTTCCTAACAAGATAAGGAGCAGATAGGAGTAAGAGCTAGTTATGTTTCATTTCCTGAAGTTTGACGTCTACCAGCAGAAATACTTTGTCTACTTCCTGCTTTGTATAGCTACTGCAAAACCTACGTTCTATCACCAAATTAAAAGAACTATAAACTTTACTTAAAAGTTTCATGTAGCCTTGCTTGGCAGCTGAGGCAGGAGGATTAGAAACGTAAGACAAGCCTAGACTAGCTAGCCAGTTCAAGGTATACAGCAAGACTCTGTTTTCAAAATCCAAGAAAAGCCTAACCCTGTATATGCAAGTTCCTCTGAAGACCTAGTCAGATGTGAAGCACCTCGCACAGCCTTTCCATTGGGTGAGGTTAAGAACCAGCGGTGGTGATAATTTAGATAAAATTTCAAAGTTTAGGGTAAAGAAAACCTTCTTCATTTAAACTGTCACCTGTCTGATACAACGGCAGATGATGATTTGTTTGGTCCACTGGACTACTGAGCACTTTTACCCGATGCAGAGAATTGTGCTTGACAAGTAACAGAGCCAAGAAAAAAAAAATCTAGAAAACTAGACTCAGGTGAAAATTTAAATGTACCCACAGTGTAGCTCTAGAGTAAACAGCTTTACAACCCCTGTTGGAGAGATGTACAAAGGAGGTAACTCCAAACTACGCACCCATGGCTTTCAGCTTTGAAAGCATTCATTTTCCAGATTGTTTCCCAGGTACACTGTAATAAATACTATTTGAAAGTTAAGGGGACACTAGAGTTCTGATTGGTTTATGCAGGGAAACAAAGCAATATGATTGCGCTTTGAGTTTGTGTGATAACTGCGGAGCTAGTGACTCGGGAAACAGCATGGTATTTCCACAGGCCTACGGAAATCAGAACGAAGAACACAACTACGTAAACTACTAATTCATGAGGATAGTTTTCAAGGCAGTCATTTGTTATTTTAAACTACCTTAATTCAAGGAGGCCCAACTGCAGAAGAGTTTGAACAATTAGGCAACTTTTTAGATAAGACAATTTAGTATATTACTTTCCAAAAGGAACTTTCAGGAGCTGAATACTTACTGAGAGTCAGAAAGCAATCATTCGATATTGGAAACAAAGTAAAAGGACATTTTTTTTTTTTTTTTATCACAACATGCCTTGTGACTCAGCTGCAAGCAGAGCACCTATCCCTGCTCGCTGTCCTGGCCATCTGAGCACTTTTGCCTAGGACGTAGCTCAGACGCCTCCTCGGGTTATCCCTTTTGCTTTTTGCTAGCCTATCAACTTTTCCTGAGCTTGGACGAGGAATTCAACAGAAGTAAAACATTCTCCTTTTTTAGCAGGCAGTATACAATGTACTGATATTTAGCGCATTTTAGCTCTTCTCCGAAAACCAAAAGAGCAAAAGTTGTCTTACTAGATATCTTCCTTTTATTTTTCAAAAAAGTTCAGTATTTTTCTTTCTTTTTAAATTTTTTTTAAGATTTATTTATTTTACATAGACAAATGCTCTATCTACATGTATGCCTGCACACCAGAAGAGGGCATCTGATCTCACTACATATGGTTTGTGAGCCACCATGTGGGTGCTGGGAATTGAACTCAGGACCTCTGGAAGAGCAGTCAATTCTCTTAACCTCTGAGTCATCTCTCCAGCCCCAAGACTAGCATTTTTCAACGAAGAATTTTGTCACTTGCTTTTTAACTTGTCTGCCCCACTCTTAAAGACACAGAATTTTGTAGTTCACCTTGTATTTTGACAATTACATAAGCCAGGAGAACATTAGCTTTTGAAAGGCCCTTGAAAGAGCTAGATTCATTGTGATGTCTCTCTATTCCTTCCCTAACACATTAAACCCCCAATCTCCGCAGTTCAAATACTTCCCTCCGAGGCTACCCTAGTGAAAAGCACCATTGCTTTTCCAATAGAAAGACTGAAAACGTCCCAATCCATTGTTGGGAGAGAAAAGAAAACCTACCAGCTCCATTTCCAGTTGTCTGGGGGTGGAAACAGACTGCAGAATAGCCAACAACGGCTCAGCAGGGTTAAAGTATTGGCTCACAAGCATGGCGGAGCATCAAATGAGCGCCTCCCTGGGAAACCCGGGGTAAAGGTTTGTGTAACAGAAAGAATTCAGGGATCCAAATGAAGTAGGTTTTAATGAGGTTTGTTTATACAGTTTCTTGGAATGTCCCCAGTCAAAGCCAGTTGCCTCCCTGACAGGAGACTTCCTGGCAATTTGTGGCAGATGACTTTCATAAAGCTGCTTCAGTCGGATAAGGGAAGTGCAGATAAGCCTCTGTGTCTACTGTGCTGTTCTCACGTTGAAGTCTTTACGCTGTGTTGGGGACTGCTGGTCTTTAGATATCGCCCTTACGTGGAGGCCCATTCTTCATCCATCTGTCTCCACACCGCAGCTAGGGAGGCGGTTCTCAAGCAGCTGATCATGGCGCTGCCCTCCTTAAAAACACTTCAGTGGCTTTTCTTTGCCAAGGATTACGATTGATAATCCTAGATTTACTGCTTGCCTACTAAAGCAGAAAGAGCCAAAGGGTAAAACTGTATAACTAACTGCAGCCCGGGTGGCTGATGTCGATCCACACAGAGAAGGGTGAGCAAGCCGGTGAATTATGACCGCCAAAAGGTAGCCTGTGGTGCCGTTCCACATTTGTGCCTGTTTCTCGGATTTTACTCCTAAAAAATCGCTGCATTAGGCCGTATGCCAAGTACCAAATCTTTTTCTCTTCCCTTAAATTTTAATTAACATTTCATTCCTTCAGGGCCTCAGTGAGATGCCTGGCTAAGTTCATAAGCTTATTCATATGAATGTTAAGAAGTTAATGTACTGTGCATTTTCATGTACAGTGTGCCTATTTGGCTAAGATTCTGCCTGACTTATGTTTCAGGATAGCCTGTGAAAGCCTTTTCAGACTCCAACAAGTAACAAGGAGATGAAAATGTGAGCAGTGTATTTTTGTATGGTTTCTGAATCACTTAGAGAGAAGAAATCCATTGGCTTTGTCCAACTCCTCCAGAGGCTTCATGCTCCCCTCTATAAAGCTATTGTGTGGAACAGAAGAAATGTGCAACTGGGAATTATTTTTTTAAAAAGTCCATATAAAAATATAATATACATGTCAAAGAATATATCAAATTAAAATAAAATAAAATAAAATAAATTTACAGTATTTTGCAATTGTGTGCTAATTTTCTGCTCTTTGGGTTTCCCTTTTCTGTGCTCTTCACACAAATGGAATTATGATTTGCCTTCCATGGTGTTTTTAAGGTCCATCGAGAGCCCTCAATTCTTCTGGTTTGACACTGAGATTGAAGGCGAGTTCTGGGCCTCTTCACTGCTGAATAGTTTCACCCACTGAGCCATCTTCCTCCCCTTGCATTTCTGAATCCTTATAGAGGTATAATGATGTATAAGTGTTCTGATGCTACAGCTTTGGTCCAATTCAACAATTTTTTTAAAATCAAATCTGTAGATCATATTGTGGTACAGAATTTAAACTAGAGATTTAATGACTTGAGTAACTAAAGATAGACTCCTGTGACTTAAGACAGCTAGGTCCATATTTTGACGTATAGAATGTAGCGAGCACTGTGGCTGAGATGACTTGACTTCAGAGAACGATATGCTAGGAATCCAGAGGGCTGAGCATCATCAGTTGTGACACATTGGGTGTGTACAGTGTGGTCAGCTCATCATTTATGCCATACACAGCGCTGTCAATTTAATGACTCACTGTAGCTAATGTCAGAAAGTCAGATGCTGTTGCCCATGAACTATGATCCTACTAAATGTTAACATTTAAAATTACCTGCTTGCTCTGAAGATGCCATTCATTTTACACATTGATTTTTCTGTAAACAGCCCTTGCTTTTCTGAAGCACCATCTGGGAAACCAACGTCCAGTCTCTCTCAGGTCTACAGTCTCTCATTCAGAAGGCCTTGGGAGTTGTCTAATCCTAGAGGCCTGGATATGTGAAAGCAAAATAATATAATTCCTTCCATATTTGGAATTAGAATATTTCAGAATGCCCCAAATCTTCATGTTTACCAGACACCCCTAGATAGATGAGATGCACAGACATTTGCTTTGTGTACTAGGGTAAATAATGCAGGTATCCATTAGCTTAGCCATTTCCAAGTGGGGCTGATGGCAATGGAGTCCTTAACTGAGGCTTGTACACAATAAACCTTTGAAATGACAAGAGGCTAAGACTGGAGGATCACAGGTTTGAGGCCAGCCTGGGCCCCATAGGGAGAGCCTATCTACATAAGAAAGCAAAACAAAAAGGCATTCAAGTGCCAATCTCCTTCGAGCTGCCCTCTTACCTTTTCGGCACAGGTATCTGGTCTATTCGCTAATGAAGGTAAAATAATTCTTCCTATCTTAGACGAGTATTTAATATTATTTTCTTTCTTTCTCTTTTAAATTGCTTTTATAGAGCTATATATTTTTCTCCACTCCCCTTCCTTCTTCCCCCTCCCCTTCTCCCCTATCCCATGAACCCCACATTCCCTATATACTCAGGAGACCTTGTCTTTTCCTACTTCCCATGTACATGAGATCCATGTATGTCTCTCTTAGGGTCTTCTTTGTTGGTTTTTTTTTTTTTTTCCTCTGGAACTGCAAATTATAGGCTAGTTTTTCTTTGAGACATAAGACATATTTTTTTCAGCCAATTGTAGTGGTGTACGTTTGTGATCATAGTTTTTCTGAAAGGAGACTGATGCAGGAGGGTTACAAGTTTGAACCCTGTCTGGGCAGCTAAGCAAACTCTATTTGAATTAAAATAAAAATAGGCTAAAGGTATTGTTCAGTGCTAGAGTACTTGCCCAGCATGTATGAGACCCTGAGATAAATCACCAGCCCCACAGAAAACAAACAACACACCCACTATTTTCTGTTGCTTAGTATTTGCTACGCCTTATTTTCCACGTTGAATTGTATGTATGTCTCTTGATTGTCTGTAACTAATTCCCAATAAACAGGCACTAAAGGAGTATGACTATGGCTTAGATAAAAACTACAATGATCCCAGGAGGGCTTTAACTGTGTTTCTGTTTGGGGTTTTTCTTTTTCATTTTGTGTGTTTGAAAGTCTTGGGGGAAAAAAAAGCTGTGAAAACATGCTATTCCTGTACGAATTTTTATTTTTTTTCAGTTTTGCCTACTTTGTGATGAATTATAGAATTTAAAAACAAAACCAAATCCCGCTGTTTTGAGTCCTAATGGCCCTTTCCTTTAAATGCTGCTGAAATGCCGGTGTCAAGAGGGAGTTGCCAGCTTAAAGCTGTGCCAAGTAGGGAAGGTGGGGCTGCATGGGAATGAGGTTTTGATTAATCAGGTTATATAATATTATGCTAAGACATGTTGAGAAAGCAATTCAAAATAATGTGTACTCCATATAAAATCACAAGCTAGTGTTCCCTTTAAAAATCCGAGGCCTTTTCCTATCTTCCTGGAAGTTTATATAGAAATAGCGTTAGGGAAAATGAGTTTTCTATATGGTGTATGTCGTCTTTTCCCTAACATTTGTGGGATCAGAAAGAGATTACAAAGAATATGTGGAATTATTAGTCATGATAAATACCTTTAAATGAAATGTTTTCTGTTCTTTAAGCGTCTACCTTTAAAATGTAGCTCCAAAAAGTTTCCAGTTTGGAACTGCCAATACCTTTGCAGCTATGTTTCAAAGGGCGCTCAAAGAGCCTGTTCCACGCCTACACCCTTTTCTACCCTCCCTGCCCTTACTAAATAGAAGGAAGTCTCAAAAGTAGGCATGAGCCCCTTCCTGCTCACTTTAAAGAATCTACTGAGACTTCCTGCAACTGAGCTAGGTGGGCAGCACGCGGGACTTGTCGTATTTCATATGACAGAAAAATCTATGCCCGAGATTGATCTTGGGAAGAAACTGAAGCAGGCTCAGGAATTTGGGGGCAAGGGTTCTGAGATTCCAGGTAAGCACAGAAAGCAAAGAACACACGATGAGTGTCTGCTCGCTGTTTTGATGAGCATAACCCTTTGGTCATAGAATCCTTAGGCTGGATCAAAGGAAAGGCAGAAAGAGTCACTACAGCATGAAGCTCTGAAGAGCACCATTGCCTGAGTTTAGATTTAGAGTTGTACAGACGTGTGTTTGCATGTTCAAGTACACAGTTACACACATACACACACACACACACACACACACACATACACATACACACACACACAAAACCTTGAACTAATGCCAAACTCTATTGTCTATGTATATCTTTAAAATATTACATAAAATCTTGTATTGTATCATCTAAAGGAGAGGATACAGTGAGTGAATGATTTCCAGAATTTACAACACACATATTTGTGGTTACTCATTACCATATTTAGTTGACTTAGGCTATGTAAATGATTGAAACAAAATAATGTGATATGGTCAAATAATGAGACAGTAGCCCTCTAAGAGGCCTGGGAATCTGAGTTTTCCTACAGATAAACACTGTAGAAACAGGTTCATATCACACATATGCACTGGACAGGTAAGGACCACTATCCTTGGCTGGAGACCAGCAAGGGTTAACTGAGCATGCCCACTTCAGCCACATCTCTTCTTTCTTGTAGGCCGCTTCATTCTGTACATTCTGTGGGCTGTGAATATTCATGGTCTTCTGTGAGCTGCAGATTTCTTTGTCAATGGAGAGAGCTGGTAATCTTTTTCTTTTTGAGACTAAGTTTCGCTGTGCAGCCCAGGTTGGCCTGGAACATGCTATGCAGAACAGGTTAGCCTCCAAATAATGGTGAGCCAAGTGCTGAAATCATGGCTATAATGTACAATGTTTCACCGAGGCTTCATTTTCAGTTTGACCAAAACCCACTGAAGTTCTAAATGTATTTACTTTTGTAGCAGTGTTATTGGGAAAAATAATCAGAAAAAAATGAAACATGAATAAGAAACAACTTTATGTGTGAGCATAAATTTTTTTGAGATAATATTTCAGCTAGTGTCTTTATTTTGGGAGTAGAGAAGCCAAAACCTGGATTATAAGTAGTAGGAAAAACTATTAAGTATATAAAGTAAAATAATTCCTAGTAAAGTGAACTGTCAAGTGTTTCAGCAGACATTAAATTTATAGCCACATTCAAAACTGAATTTAGTAGTTTTAGAGAACTTTAAATAATGATTTTAATCTATTGTGATATGTTTGGCCAGAATTTATAATGAGATTGATATTACTATTTTCATTGTTTAATATTCTTGGTTATGCCCACTAGAACTACTTTTGTTTTTTGTTTCTCTACTGCCCAAACAGGTTTTCAGATATTTTACTACTCCACAGAAGGTAGTGAACCTGTTAGCTGAAGTCACACAGCTTATGACACAGACTCACCGCTATCATCATTTAGCATCCCACTGCCCCAGAAGATTTTTAAACCTCACGGTTTATATCTCAGCAGCTTGAGCAGGGTGTCAAGAGTCTCATAGGTAAATATAGTCAGTATGTTCCTTTCAGAGCTAACTGCTAGTTTGTTAAAGACGCCAGTAAGCTTTGTTCTAAATGGTAAAGTCTCCACCCTTGGTGCCCTTGGATCCTCTGTCTCAGACAGGTAGAAGGCAATTTCTAACCTTTGGGGAAGCACTCTGTGATCAAGGACCCACAGCAGGGGGGAAAGCAAATGGTATCATCTTTTACTGTTATCTTTGTTATGAAGGTTTCCTTTTGATTCTGCTTTGCTGGGCTCTGGTTACAGAAGTGGTCCTTGTCAGCTAGTATTTGGCCTTGCCTGACTTCCCTGGGCTCCTCCCTCAAGAGTAATAACTCTGTCCTTTCCAGGCCTGTCTCTGCCTCTCTGAGATTCTTCAAATTGGTGCCATCCCAAACCTACCTACCTGGTAGATTCCTGTGAACATGTTCTTGCCCTATGACCTCTTTATTGCTTAAGGGAAAAAAAAAAGCAAGAAACCTCAGAAATTCTTTCACAAACTTAACAAATAAATTAACTTTATTCCAAGTCACACTGTCTGTTATTAGATGCTCTATTTTCACGTGGGCACTCCCTCTGTTCAGTAGAAAACTGTGGTAGAGAGGAGAGGAGACAGAGAGTTGACTTGGCAGAATCTGACCAAAGCGTAAGCTGAAGTCTCACTGTGAATTTCATTATTCATGGCTCCATTTCAAAACACCTATGAGAAAGGCAGTCACTATGTTTTCTGGTTTCTAACATGAGAAACTAAACAACAGGCAGATAAGATCTGGGAAGTTGTTCAGCTGAACTAATTTGCTTAACAACTGATATGACATATTTGATTAAAATTTTTCTTATTAAATGAAGTTCTAGAATGTTAACTTGAGACTTTCTCAGATGACAAAGGTATGTCCAGACTATGGCTATGTTAGTCTATATAGGGGAAAATATTTATTTTTGTTGAAGCTCAAACCACGGCTCTCTGGGATTGTTCTGAGTTTTCTGGGAGACAGAACACACATGTAGTGATCAGAGCAATAGGAGTAAGTGTTCTACTTTTTTCCTGGCTGTAGCTTTGCCAGTAACTAGTCTGGTGAGCTTGGTCCTTTGACCTCTTTTAGTCTTAGAATTTTTCTTTGTAATAAGGGGTTGGGCTCTGATTTCTAAGGTCAATTAGAACTATGAAACCATGTGACTTCTCTTAGAGTTTCTTTCAAAATACACATTGCATATTTATTTATGTCTTGGCCTATCTTAAAGGTATTACTGGACCATATCCAATCACAGCCCAGGCAAACAATGCACTCACAGAAAGGCTACTTGCGTCATTTTATTTTATTTTTTTCACATTCAAACAATACCTGGCAAATAAATGAAGGTTTCTGAAATTGTGATCGGCACCATGATGCATGATCAGTCGCACCGAACATTTGAGCAAAGTATACACATGTTCAGAGCTCAGAAGAAAGTGAGAGCAGATTGCATTTGCCTGTGGTTGTGAAAAGCCCGTGTTAGAGGCTGTGG